ATTTAATACTAACTAATTTTAATATGTTGTATACAGACAATAAAAGTGTTACATAACTCATTTTAGATACAATTTATGTGTTTTTTATTACGTACGGCGACATTGTATTTTCCCTCCGACATGTACATGTACTATTCCATTTTTTTACAGGTATGACATCGCTCTAGCAGACGACACGTAAAATTGGAAACAATATGGCATTTTTTCATAGCTTATTGTAATAGTTTTTATTTGTTTGGGTCGTCAGACCAGTGAAATTTCAGAGTCTGATGCTGTTAGTTGCAAATGCCGAAAGTAGGTCGCTTTTTTGAAGCGGTTACTTCCCTTTATATGTACACTAACGCCGAAAAAATTCAGGGGAGATCACTGCGTAAAGATGGTCAAATGACAGGCGCATTAATTTTCAAGCAAAATAATTCCCGAATGGTCGAAGATTTCTAATATTGTTTTATCCTTTATAGATATACATGCTTAGATTATTAACGTCTGTGTTAAACAACAGTTAGCGCCGAAATAATAAGGGTTACAAACCCTAATTTAGAATAATATGGTTTTCTTATCAGGCCTTTTACATATAACTTCACCGTGGCCGAGGGATCTTGAGTTCAAATCCAGGAAGGCAACTCTTTTTTTTTCAAATTGTTTAAATCAAATAAACATTGAATTGAATGTCAGTGTTGCAATAAGTCTTAAAGCCAATTAACTACAATTTAAACGCTGGAAAGCACTGGTGGCACTATACAAAACAAATTGGTTTATAATCTCACAACCTTCATCTTTCTGACATTCTGAGACCCAAAAAAATTCAGCGCCTTCTGTGCTTTGATTTGAGAAGTAACAACATGCTTGTTTACTGTGCTTTGATCAAATACCGAATTGAAGAACCATTAATACTCTATACATGTACTTTCATGTATATATAAATACCAATTTCCCAGAAGTGACTACAGTTATTCATTTAATTCATTCATTTAATTTAAAGCAATACAGTAGTTTCATAGTAAATCAACTAAAACCAGATTCAGGAATAATCATATCTTTATTGAAAGATTTATTTTTCCCAAAACTTTAAAAAGTTTCTGTACGACATTTCACCTCAACATAAAAATCGTACTTTCACGAACGCAAACTTTCATAGCTATTTTAATGCAGCAATTCCTGCGAGTCCAGCGTCTGTGAAATCTTTCTTCATATTTTTGTATTCGTCTGCTGTCAAATTTCTAAGCGGGAGACGAACTGGTCCTGTATCCATTCCAGACAATATGTTAAACATAGCTTTACATGTTCTCGCAGAACCTATAAATGACATAAACATGATGAAAAGATATTAATATTAAAACTTGCATTGGTATAATGATAAGTATGTCTGAATGGTCTTAAATCTGGTTACCATAAACCCGTCTGTAATATTAGTCTGATTTTAACTGACAAACATATTTCATAAATTGAAACTAAAGAAACAGGAATTTTAATGTAGATTAAACTTAACCTTGTATATCTTTATATTCTAAATTCTCTGAATATATAGATCTATTATGAAATGTTTTATTTTTATGATTGTTGTTTTATACTTTAGATTCACATAATTATTTAATTTTAGAATGAAAGACCAGTTTACTTAGTAAATAAGACATTGCCAGCATGGCACTTATTGTTTTCTGTTTTGAATACGCTGCTTTACAGTAAGATACAAATGCACACGCCCACAAATACGCACGAGCGCTAACGCACGCGCGCGCACGTACGTACCTCCATATTTGAATCGAATATTATTGATAGCGTGGGACGTTTTCTGTATTCCCCTTGCTTTCTGAATGTCACCTGCTTCAAACGCTGTTCTCATGTCATGTGTTATGTTGCCAAGATATGACGCTGTTACTATGCCTGTTATCCCTACAGCAAGACTACTGAGGTACTGCTGAAAAAGTCAAACAATATACCACTACAATACGAGTTTAATATACACATGTACTTGAAAATCCAACTTATAATTACAAAGTCATTGGGTGTTTTAACTACTTCTTTTGTTGCTTTTTGTTTACTATTTGCGTAACAGCTGCAGCGACTTTATAATCATCATCATCGTCATCATCATCATCGTTGTCGTCGTTGGTGGTTGTGGTGTTGTTCAGTACAACCCCTTGTGATAAGTAATGTTATTTGATCTCAAACGCCTTATATGTTGATATTTATATATATAATATATTTAATTAATCATGATTATACAGCTATACATACAAAGTCTGTCCCAACAAGGACCTGCAGATTATCTACCATAGAACAGTCGTGTAGACTCGGTATTTCTCGCTTTGAATGTTTCAGTCCCCGGAAAGTTGGTATCTTCTTCAGAGCCAGCTCACATAATTTACGTGTGTTCACTAAAACAATATATTAGATCTCTAAAACAACATTCCTAATCCTATTATATACGAGTAACCATATCTTAACCTGTTAGCATTTTACATAAAAGGAAACTAGGGAAGAAAAAAGAAAACACACCTTAACTTACATGGGGCTAGAGACTTCAATTGTATTGGACTAATAGACATATTTTGTAATAGCTTTAATGGCTAAAACTGAATAATTACTGTCATTGAAATATAATCGGACAGAAAACTAAACTTTTATTTGACTAGAAAAAAAATACAGTTTTATAAAGAAACAACTAACATTGTACTAGAAGTGGAATATTGACATCAAGTTAGAAACTAGACAGGCATTGGGCTTTAAATGTTAACTTTAAACTTCAACTATTGTAAAACTCAACGAATTTCAGCTATTAATCAAAAGCATGGATTTTAGGTATTGCGATAAACAATTTCCTATAAATCTATATTTTTGTTTCACATCTGATTTTTCCTTAAATATCCTTATTGATCATAAAATAAGTGATTTAGATATTGCATACCGTTTACTCCGGTCATAAAGTTAATTTCGTAGAAATAGAATGGTGTTTTTGGTGCTGCCCCTGCAATTTCCGCCAGCACCTCGACCAGTACCTCTGAAATTCAAACAAAGATAATGAAATACCTGTTTATTTTATAGGTTTGGGTCATTGGTTATACCCTACACAAACACATGCTTTGACATTACTTTATATTATTTCCCATGAAAAAGAAAAGAAAACGCAAATTAAAGATTACAATAATAAGAAGAAAGATATGTTCAAGAAGCATTTTTGTAATCAGTATGCAATGACGAAATATCAGTCTGAACTATTTTACACAGAACTGCAATTTTTTCTTCTTTTTTGTTATCAGTTGTCTAAATGACTGTAAAAAGTCAGTTAAAGCGTCAGTTAACGATTGTAAAACATGTACCTTCATTTTCCGGTTTATAGTAGGACGGACTAAATGCAGCTATCGCAGATGCCCCAGTCTTCTCCGCATGCCTAGCCTGCAAATACAACAAGTCTTTCTACCTTATTACCTTAATGTATTTGATTACAAATTACTACATTAGTTGGTAATTCAAAGAATGGATGAAAAGTTCGACATAGTTTTCAACAACGAGTTATCTGGACTTACTAGTTCTTGTGAGTCCTTTATACAGTTAGTTCCAACATGAACAATGACTTCTAGCCGACCACCAGATGCTTCCATCCAAGTTTCAGACATGCGCTTTCTTTCATCCAGGGTTAAAGATGCTCCCTCAGCCATTGAACCATTTACTATAAATACAACTATATTTTTATTTCTGTAAATTACGACTGTATGGTTAACATGCTACTGTTCCATTAATAAATGTCATGAACATAGATGTAAATGTGTGTTCTTGCATCCTCTTTGGATCATAATATAGAATCATTATAAATTCTTCATCTAACGTTTTGCCTACATAACTGTAAAACTGCCCTGGCAACATCTTGTTTTATTTGATGCAAAATTCTTTGAGACACATTACCATGTACATTTTCCTCTAATATTATACACGCATACTTACCAAAAACTCCCGTGAAATGGGTTTGCACAAGATAATCTGCATATTTCTTTACAAACGTGTAATTTATTTCCCTGAAATGACAAGTATGTACAATATAATTTTAGAACAATGTCAATGGATAGAAAGATATTAATATAGCAGAATCATTAAATATTATCGATGAAATTGCATAATTTATGCATAAAAGAATGCTGGTAGATTTATAAAGAAGCAGCTCAAATAAGTCTTCATTATATTGCAAAATTAAATTGTTTTTTTACTCAGAGAAACACAATAATTTGTCAGTCAAGGGTTTTCTTTAAGATATGAACATGCAATATGCCTACCCATCGTCCTTCATAGGTGTAAATGGGGCACATATCTGACCCTTCACTTGGAAATTTGCTATCTGAAAGAATAAAAATAAGTGACTGTTTAGCTCATAATTGAGCCGCGCCATGACAAAACCAACATAATGCGTTTGCGACCAGCATGGATCCAGACCAGCTTGCGCATCCGCGCAGTCTGATCAGGATCCATGCTGTTCTCTACTTGTTATAGGGTTTGTAAGCGAACAGCATGGATCCTGATCAGACTGGCAGATGCGCAGGCTGGTCTGGATCCATGCTGGTCGCAAACGCACTATGTTGGTTTTGTCATGGCGCGGCTCATATCTATTAGGACAATTTCGTCATTTAAAGTAACGAAACCTTTTGCTGACTGGTCATACTGGCGCCTATTAAATTTTATATGACACGTAACTGGCGGAATTTTAACGAGCATTAGATGCACGTGCAATGTTTTTGCAAAACATGTAATTAATGTATTATCTCGTACATTGTATATCAAAGCGTGAAAAACGTCATTGTGAAGTAGCACGACGATAAAGTAAAATGTGTATATATGTATCTACATGTATATTGAAAAACAAGCAGTAAAGCTAAGAATATTTCGTTATAATTAATTACAGTTACAAAGGTTATTTTTTTATAATTATAAATTGTCTTACCTCAGACATGATAAACTGACTGTGTTTCTGTCTACCTATATAATTAACCTCGGCTATCTTCTTCAAACACCTTTGAAACTAAGACACTATTGACTTTTAAATATTGTATCATGTTATCAGTGTAAACTACATGTACATAAAATGAAAGTTTTTTTTAATCTTTTGACATGTACTATATATCATATATTTCTGTCTGTACTCCCTGATGAAATATCATACCATTCCATTCTCGCTGATCTGAAGCCATACCACCCTGAACTTGCTGTTTAGATATCATACCTTTCTATACTCGCTGATGAGATACCATTCCTTACTGAGCTCGCTTATGAGATATCATACCTTTCTGTATTCGCAGATCGGATATCATACCTTTCTGTACTCGCATATGAGATATCATAGGTACATTGCTGAACTTGCTTATGAGATATCATACCACCATGGACTCGTTAATGAGATATCATATATATTATATACCTGTACTCGCTAATAAGAATTTGCACCTTTCTGTATCATACCTTTCTGTACTCGCTTATGAGATACCATACCTTTCTGCACTCGCTTATGAGATATCATACGTTTCTGTACTAGCTTTTGAGATATAATACCTCCCCAAACTCGCTTATGACATAGCATACCTTTCTGCACTCTTTTTTGAGATATCATATCTTTCAGTTCTCGCTGATGAGATATCACACCTTTCTCTCTACTCTGAAATGAAGCCATACCACCCTGAACTCCCTTATGAGATATCATACCTTTCTGCACTCGCTTTTGAGATATCATACCTTTCAGTTCTCGCTGATGGGATAGCATTCTCTCCACTCTAATGTGAAGCCATACCACCCTGTGAACTCGCTTATGAGATATCATACCACTCTGTACGCGTTGATGGGATATCATACCTTTCTGTACTCGCTGATGAGATAACATGCCTTAATGAACTCGCTTATGAGATATCATACCTTTCCGTTTTCGCTGATCGGATATCATACCTTTCTGTACTCGCATATGAGATATCATACATTCCTGAACAAGCTTATGAGATATCATACCACCCTGGACTCGCTAATGAGATATCATATACCTTTCTGTACTCGCTAATGAGAATTCGTACCTGTCTGTTCTAGCTTATGAGATAGCATACCACCCTGGACACGCTAATGAGATATCATATACCATCCTGAACTCCCTAATAAGAATTCGTACCTGTCTGTTCTAGCTTATGAGATAGCATACCACCCTGGACACGCTAATGAGATATCATATACCATCCTGAACTCGCTAATGAGAATTCGTACCTGTCTGTACTCGCTTATGAGATATCATATCACCCTGTCCTCGCTTATGAGACATCAGACCACCCTGTACTCTATTAGGAGATATAATCCACCCTGTACTCGCTTATGAGATATCGTATCTTCCTGAACTCGCTAATGAGATATGATACCACCCTCTTTCGGTTATGAGATATCATACCTTTCTGTACTCGCTTATGATATATCATACCACCCTGTACTCGCTTGTGATATATCATACTACCCTGTACTCGCTTATGATATATCATACTACCCTGTACTCGCTTATGAGATATCATACCTTCCTGTACTGTACTCGCTTATGAGATATCATACCTTCCTGTACTGTACTCGCTTATGAGATATCATACTACCCTGTACTCGCATATGATATATCATACCACCCTGTACTCGCTTATGAGATATCATACTACCCTGTACTCGCTTATGAGATATCATACTACCCTGTACTCGATTATGAGATATCATACCTTCCTGTACTGTACTCGCTTATGAGATATCATACCTTCCTGTACTGTACTCGCTTATGAGATATCATACTACCCTGTACTCGCTTATGAGATATCACACCACCCTCTACTTGGTTATGAGATATCATACCTTCCTGTACTGTACTCTCTTATGGGATATCATACCACCCTGTACTCGCTTATGAGATATCATACTACCCTGTACTCGCTTATGAGATATCATACTACCCTGTACTCGATTATGAGATATCATACCTTCCTGTACTGTACTCGCTTATGAGATATCATACTACCCTGTACTCGCTTATGAGATATCACACCACCCTCTACTTGGTTATGAGATATCATACCTTCCTGTACTGTACTCTCTTATGGGATATCATACTACCCTGTACTCGCTTATGAGATATCATACTACCCTGTACTCGCTTATGAGATATCACACCACCCTCTACTTGGTTATGAGATATCATACCTTCCTGTACTGTACTCTCTTATGGGATATCATACTACCCTGTACTCGCTTATGATATATCATACTACCCTGTACTCGCTTATGAGATATCACACCACCCTCTACTTGGTTATGAGATATCATACCTTCCTGTACTGTACTCTCTTATGGGATATCATACCACCCTGTACTCGATTATGAGATATCATACTACCCTGTACTCGCTTATGAGATATCACACCACCCTCTACTTGGTTATGAGATATCATACCTTCCTGTACTGTACTCTCTTATGGGATATCATACCACCCTGTACTCGCTTATGAGATAGCATACCACCCTGTACTCGATTATGAGATATCATACCTTTTGTACCCGCTGATGGGATATAATAATGATTCGTACCTCCTGTACCACTGATGGGATATCATTGTTTTCTGTACTTTTTAATGTAACAAAAAAACTCTGAATACTCTGATATCATATCTCAATGATATAAATATATGTATCTTAGAGAACCTAATTTCTGATGATATAACCTACATTGTATATCTTTACCAATAAAAGTCAGGTAAGTTTTTTAATTGTTACTTTTGCCAATACATGTGTTTACAATCCGTTAATGTATTTCAGTATTTTTATATCACCGTTGGCACCAGTGTCACGGTGAACAAGATGGGAAACCTGACCGGGACTCGAGTCCGTTCAGCGGATCTTCCGATTTAGCTATCCGACCATTAACACATTGACTCCCTCTGGTGGACAGTTCTGAACCGTGACACGCAGAGAATAGAAATCTAACGCTACTAATGAACAATACATGTATACTTTTATTTGTTTTTATCTATTTATTTTTCAAGGATAACCGCACATTTGAATCAAAGGCGGATACTATATTTTATTACAAGAAACATACGTACATGTAATTAAACATAGAAATAAGCCTATTACATACTGTTATAATACTAGTACATGTCACAATATTCATTCCTGAATACAATGTTATAACATAAAAGGATAGTCTCAACTCAAACATTACTACATGCATAATTATTTCACTGTTCTCTAGGCTGTGATATGTTAACTAGGTCAGCAGAATTAAAGTCTTTCTTCATATTTTCAAACTGGTCTAGCGACATCTGTCGTAGAGGAAGACGTACCGGACCCACATCCATTCCCGTCAATATTTTAAAGATGTACTTTGCAACGTTGATTCCCCCTGAAATATATATATCATCTCTTTCACAATAAAGTTGAAAAAGGAACTACTCTCTAGTTAATTTTTAAGAAAAGTGTTGTATTTAGAGTAAAGAATAAACTGGTAGTGATACACTTACAAACAAATCCATGCAGATTATGATTTTGATTGCTATGTTGAAAATTTAAAACAAATGCGTGCAGAATTCAGTGATAAACAGTATCAGAGAGAATCAGTAACCCTGCCACCGTTCAGTGTTCTTCATTATTCTTCACTTAATCTAGATTTTCCTGACTCATTGTATATTCTGTGACAAATTTGGATGTTGAAGTACTTCAGGTCAGCCATGAAGGATAGTTTAATAAAAATGCATTTAAAACATATGATTAGTGTCAGGTTTTAAGAAAAGTTAAATTCTCTTTCTTCAGAATCTAATTGAATGCGCTTTGGGGGTAAATATATTTAATAGAATAGCCATTACCTCCATATTTTGCCCTGATGCTATTGACAGCCTCGGCAGTATTCTGCAAAAGAGAAGACACAAAGTTCACCGTCCGAATTTGTTTTAAGTTTATTGATAAGCATTTTGTATAAGTTGCAACAAAAGACTGTCACATTTTCTAGGAATATAATATGCTCTTACTTGTACATAACTCGAAAAGTTAATACAAATGTATAGCATTGTATAATTATTATGCTTTATGATAATCTAATATGATACCTGAAGTTTCCGTGCTGTTGTGACGTCTCCAGAGTCAAATGCTTTCCTCATGTCTGAGAAAACGTTACCAAGATACGACGCTACCACAACACCGGGCATTTCCAGAGCAAGACAACTTAAATATTGCTGAAATATAAAGATATAACGCATGCATATTTGTTGCTATTGTTAAAAATATATTGATGATCTTATCTAAAGATGTTTTTATGTTACTGATAAGCTTCATGAAATCTGTGTCCATACAATAAGGTTTAACACTTGATTTTTCGTATGAATTCGGTAAAATATAGTTTAGTGAGGAAGTAAACAGTGTAGTGATCATCATTCATTATTTATTTCAGTACTCACCACATCTGTACCAATTAGAACCTGACAGTCTTCAACTTTTGTCACAGCATGGGCGTCTGGTAACTCACGCGAGGAATTCTTCAGACCTCTCAAAGTTGGAATTTTCTTCTTTGCCATTTCCATAAACTTCCGAGCATTTACTGCAATGTTAAATTAAGTTGCAATTGGGTGATTAGGAAATAATTCTTTAAGACAATGAATGCATGGCTAGACTATTTCCCAGTCATATCTTTAAGATTATAGGTATCTTGTGAATGAATTTTGTTTTGTTATCAGAATCGGTTTATAGATTAAATAAGACACATATTTTTTAATAAGAACAGCTTCGTCATTGTATTAATAAGGATAAAACAAACAGCTTCATTGAGTTCATCTAAACTCTAAAAGATCCTTTTCGTCTAAAGACAAAACATGGTAAGAAACACGCGAATTCCCCGTTGGCGCACGAGCCACTCTTTAAAGACCTCTTCTACAATGTTCATACGGATATACATGTATAGGCAGAATGAAAACTCTTTCTTATTATTCATTAGCTGAATTTTAGAACATAACAAGAGAAACATTTTAATCGAAAAAAAAGTGGGATCTGATCACCTTCCCTAGTTATCTACCCATGAATATGTTCTTTTCTATTTTTTATTTTTGTACTAATAGGGAAAGATAATTAAAAATGTAGGTTAGCACGCGCGGCCTTTTTCTTTAAAATTTGTATTGTGACCAAGGATAAACTATTAAAAAGAACCAAATAGTAAACAATAAGATTTTTCAGCTTATCTATAGGTTATCTGGCCATGAATTTACCTAAACAAGCAAACAAAATAGAATTCAAGGGCAGATAACTCAAAAACCAAGTTGTCGATCACCAATTTTTCTGCCTAAGATGTTCTTTTACCTGCAAGGTTTAAATAATTCCTAAGAAAGAGCTTTCAATCTGACCCATAGGGAAAAAGAGTACCACAGAGTAACTTACTATATAAGCCTGTGCAGAAGTTTATGTCGTAGTAGTAGAAGGGCGTGTTCGGTGCTGCAGACGATATTTGACTCATCACTTCTAACAATACCTCTAAAATGAATAAAATAATTTTGTTTTACATCTTTATAGCAATATTTTGCATATAACTTTTCTTTTTTAAAACAATAAGTACAAAATCGTCGTAAAAATACATTTAAAACATATCACGTTTAAAGATCCTGTAACACAATCTTTTATGGTTTTATATCATAAATATGATGCTCAAATTAAGATTTGTCAATTTTGTAGGTTCCAAAAAGCATTATTTATAAAGATATTACCGAATTAAACGTTTCAAGTAAATAAAGGGAGGAAATAAAAAAAATATTTTCTATAAAGTCTAAGTCAATTTTTTCAATAAGAAATGAATGCATATATTTTAATGAATACATATAATATGTACAAATATTTGCAGTACATATTTTGCATATTCTTCGATGTTTGAAAATTGTTTTTTAATTAAGTATATAATTATATGCATATATATAATTTCACTTAAGTGTGGTATTAAACCTCAATTACAACACACAGGATCTTTAAAAGTTTGACATATAGGACATGATGAGTTGTGCCCAGTACTTCCAGCAATCCAGAGAGGTGCAGATTGACGTGATGTTCCATGGAAATGGCTTGTATTTTGCTTTTTGATATATTTCATGCAAATATATCTACAAGTCATCAATTTAGTTAAAAAATAATATACCTTCATTTTCTGGTTTATAGTATGATGGCGAGAAAGCTGCAATGGCGTCCACTTTAATTTCTTCTGCATGACGAGCCTAAAAAAATATCAACAAATTAATACAGTGACAGATATGATGAGAAAAGATGAAATGGTGGGGGTGGGGGGGGGATTGAAAGAAATTTACAAACTGTTATATATGTTGATCCATGTTTGTCATGGAACGCTAATGAGAAGGATGTGCTTCCTTTGAAGGAGTAACGGGAAAATCATTATTGAAATGTATCCTTGACGATATCCTTGACTTGTCCAAATAAATCAAAATTTCTTTCTTTTTTCTCCAGTTAATTTAAAGGACCCAACCTTAGCGTCTAAAATAATAAAGGAATAGTTACTTAATTGAAAATATCGAAGTTAATTTAAACAACATGATAACAACAGTTTTGTGAGAGAGTATACCAGTTCTTGTGCATCCTTGATACAATTTGTGCCGACATGTACAACCACCTGTAATCTTCCGTCAGACGCTTTCATCCATGCTTCAGCTAGACGCTTTCTTTCATCAAGCGTCATAGACAAACCTTCAGCTAACGATCCATTAACTGCACGTATTTAATAAATTAATTACAAATAAAAATACATATCTTTCAAAAAGAAGTGTACATGAACTCACTGATAATATTAATTAATGATGCGCATGACTGTGCTACATAATAAGCGGTTTACCTTTTCAAATGTATAGACATAATAAATCATAATAGTAATTTCTTAATTGTTATCAGTAAAACTTGCATAATTTTTTTAACCTACCCTTTATTAGGAAAAAAACTGTTACATACATACGCTAACTATGTTAACATAAAACATGTACTGAAAGCGAGTTCAGAATGGCAAATGCAATTTCCCTATATATTCTGCGACATCTTGTAACACCAATTCTTATGGACATTACTCGGTGTTCGGTGTGTTTGATTAAGTACTAGTATATTGCTATGAATAACCTGGGACATACGTTATCGTATGTCCCAGGAATAACTTAAGATAAATACTTTTTTAAATCATTGAAATAATGCATTTACTGTACTGTATTTAACAACCGACGTTATGATATTATATTACTTACTGAAAATTCCTGTAAAGTTTGTGTTCACCATGTAATCGGCATATTGTGCCAACAACGAATAGTTGATCTCCCTAAGATAGAAATGATAAAAAAGAAACATACATATCTATATAAAGATATACTTGTAATGGAGTGTCAAAACAATACGTTGAAGTCAATATTAAAGTTTTTAAAATTGAATGATTTCCTTCAAAGTTAACAGTACATGAAAACGCTAATTGTCCTCTATTGTTATTTGTTTATGGATTTAGCGAAAATGGTGGCTATTATAGGACACCATACATATAACGAAAAAAGACTTACCCATCTTGGTTAAGGGGAGTAAATGGTGCTGCAATCAGTTCTTTAAGTCGAAATGTGCTTACCTGTAAAATATGCTTAACATTAGATAAATTAAAAGGGGAATGACGAAAACACAATATATATCACCACAGAGTTTTATCACCAAAATGTAATTTCATTTTAAGGATTTTTTTTGTCAGTATAAGAAGATAGTATACTTACATTCGCCATTTTGAAAGTATCAGTGCACTTTGAATTGTTATCGTGTCTAGTTAAGGCATGGATTAGGGTTAAATTGTAACACTACAGGTACAGCAATATATATAGGTATATCATGTATGTACCTGCATATATCTGTATCATCTAAACTTTATCTTAAAATGGTCAGTCACGTTTTGGTTAGCTTCTTCTTAAAACTAAAGTTAAGATATTAGAACATTTTAATAATCCGTTAAGAACATTGCTCAATGTTTCAATTAGATTTATATAGTAGATGGACCCATAATGCATGCATGTTCTTGTAGAAGAATCTTTGTATAGGTAATAATAATTGCATCATATACATAGTTCATGATAGCTAGGTGTAATATTTATTTGGTTAGTTAAGTCCTATGCCACGCCAGCACTGTTCAAATAAACAAGTAATATATATGAGCCGCGTCATGACAAAACCAACATAGTGCATTTGCGACCAGCATGGATCCAGACAAGCCTGCGCATCCGCGCAGTCTGATCAGGATTCATGCTGTTCGCTTACAGACCCTATAACAAGTAGAGAAACTGATAGCGAACAGCATGGATCCTGATCAGACTGCACGGATGCGCAGGCTGGTCTGGATCCATGCTGGTCGCAAACGCACTATGTTGGTTTTGTCGTGACGCGGCTCAAATATGTATAGAAAAAGTATAACATCACAGCAGAAAGTCAAAGTTACACATAAACTTAAAATTGTATTTATGATAATATCCCGGGGTCTGTATCCTCATTGCCTGAAAGGGCAGATGGACCCTCATTAAGTCTACAGTATACACACCATCATATCAAATACATATTATAATCATCCCATTATAGATATCTATCAATATCTTTCAATCAATTAATGTCGATATCAATTCAATATTTTTCCATATTACACATATAATTATCTAAGATCTTCTGTATCAAAATGAATGTTTTGAATTATTGTGTTATATATATTTGATAAAAGAAGTAAATTAAATCATGCATTCTTATTAAGTCGACAATTAACACTTCAATTTGCTATTCTTTGCATTTCCTGGTTCCGGAAATTGTAAACTTGATAAAACTTGAGAAACTGGGTTAAAAACAAATATACTGTTTTTATTTCTTTCCTTGTCCGGACTTTACTATGGAAAACAATTAAGTTTAATTGCAAAATATTTGTACAATGCAATTCTAATCTGTTTTAGAAATGGTAATATTCAAATCAGAACAAAAAATAAAACAAACTTAATTTCTTTCAGCAATGCGTTTCTGGAAAAAGATCATTCAGTAAAATAATAATAATTAATATCATGTACTATTAATATGTTAAATGTTTATAACTCAGCATATCTTCGTTTATACATGAAATATCAGACGAGATTAATGAAATCAGGGTCTTTCAAATAGATCAATCATTACTTTATGTTTCATTTCAGCATAAACCATTGTTCATTTATTTGCAAAAATATTCAAATGCTACGTTATTCTTATTTTAGACAAATACTTTAGTCACGAACAAAAAAAAGGATAAAATGTGGAGTTATTACATTTCACTAAAATAGTACGATCTCGGCAGGACTCGAACCTGCAATCTCCTGATCCGTAGTCAGGCGCCTTATCCATTGGGCCACGAGACCAATTGGGTACTTTCAAGAATTAACATGTGTACAACAGTTATGCTATAAAGCATCACCGTTGTAAAGCAAAGAAAAATAAAATAAAGGAAAAACAACTCTGTCGGCCTTATCGTCAAAAGGTTTTAGCAGTTGGTGTTAACTATTGTCTCCCTTTATTCATGTACAAATTTATGTCATACTTGACCTTTATTCTAAAACAAAACTTTTTGTCATAAATTATACACGATTAATTTTGAAAATGGAAAAGAGAGCTATAGATTTAGGTCGAATACCCAAAATATTGCAGTAACTTTATTTGTGGTATTGAATAAAAATATAATATTGTTTTAAAAAATAATCGAATTAGAAAGATATTTATTTTATATGTTGACGACGACGATTTATTGCTGACCACTGGAACGCGGCTGTTACATTGCTCGAACTTTCGTGCACTGTATTAAGGAAATCGACAATAGTGGAGTGAACGTGGTAGATCTGTGACGCCAGGTAACAATGCTATAGTTGGCAGCATCGTTCACACTGTGTATGTTGGCATTATATCAACAGACGATAAGACACATATTAACACCTGTATAATCAGCAACCTGTAATCAACATACCTGTAATCACTATACATGACGATAATAGAATCAGCAGATCACTTCTTATAATAGGTCGATCACGAAGTTATCTCATGAAAGAGACAAATTTATATTGAATAATGATAATGATAATTATAAATAATTTAATTATCATTTATGCCTGAATTGCGTATCAACAAATTAAAGACCGTGCATTTCCAAACCTGAGTCGAAAGTTTTGTGAAAGCTGCCGTTGACCATTTTTATCCAACATAAAACATATCTTTAAAATATTGATTTATTAAAATATCTAATATTAAATTTATATTTTCTTATCAACAGTGCAATAAGATCAACAATGCAATAAGGAGGTCACAGGGTCACAGTTTCTGGCGTATCAATTCATTTTGTGTCTGGAATAATTTGAAATGATAGCAACAATTAGGAGGGCTAAACTGCTATTTTTGATATAAAAAAAAAGATATTAAGATGGAATAATTTTTTCTTTAAGGGGTTATTTTGTTTGTGTTTTTAGCCAATTCATATCATTTTTCATTATCATATTTTGTGCAAGTTTAGAAATGTAATGTTTGCTTTACAGTATAAATAAGCAGAGAATCATAGAATACAAAATTAATTAAAATACACGAGAGGTACTGAAAATTGATTAAATAATAACAAAAAAAGAACATGTGCCATTGAGCAAGCATTTTGATGGAAGGTGACAGGTGCATTTCTTCGCAGGCAATTACCCCGAATGTATGTGATTTATATTATAACACTGATTGCCAACATTTCAACAAGTATTTGATGAAATTGATGATAAATCTAGAAAATCTGTTGAGTACAGTACCTAGGGGAATATAGAAATCAGTCTCCGTTAGTTTATGATACTAGTATACTGATTTACTTTATATCTAACAGTAATTTACAATAAAAAACTACAATTTATTGGTGTGACAAAACCAGATGGGCGACTTTCTCTAGACGGAAATTTATTTTTTGGTGGGTAATGCAAGTTACACCTTTTAATGAGAAATAACTGGTTCTTTGACTCGCAATTAAGTCAGTATTTTAGTAGTTACATGTGCTCGTCGTGTTTTTACCTAATTCCGGAATATCTCATCAGAGAACCACGACCTCCGTATTTAATTTAGACTTTCATTCTGTGAGAATTACAGTAAGGGTGTGCATACCTGTATATAAAAGTTTCCTTCGTGGAGGATATTAAAAGATATTCCAAAAGATATCAACTTGCTTAACAATGTGGAGAAATGGCGATGATGTTTATTAATTAGACATTGGTTTCATTTATATCACATCGGTTAATGTTAAATGCAATTTTTGACTGATGGGAATTGGACACGTTTTATCCCGTAAATTGCAGTCCGGTTGTGATATTTTACCTGAATTAAGACAAAAAAAGAGGAAATAAATACAGACTTTAGTTGTTTCTCGAAACATCGAGTGATCAGTTCCTTAAAGCTGCATGCCTCCAGATAAGCCAAAATATTTCAAGAAAATCTACCTTTAGAAAAATGTAATAAGATTTTAAGAAAGTAAAAATATTCACGATATTCAAGATATAAGATATAATTTACACGTTACATGCAATTCATGACTGATTTTACTGTATTTATCACCATATTTCTACCTAATGACTAACGCAGTAAGGGCTATTTTTGCATATTCTGATCTTTGGTAATTTCCGTGATTTTTAAGCGCTTTTCGCAATGTGTAAATTACCTTCTTTGTTCATTTGTTCACTTGACACAGGTACGTACATACATGTACGTACGTGCTTGACAATATTTTTCATTTTACTACATTTAAAAAAAAATCAAGAAAATGAGCATTAATCTAGAGGCATGCTTCTTTAATGAGTTTCAAAAGTTTTTTTTTTAAATTGTATATGGGCAATATGCTATACGTATAATCTATTAATGCAGACCACGTGTATACAGTCAAATGCCAAATAAGAGAAAATGAAGAAAAAATATTATTAAGTAAAACATCTATAAATTTTAATTTGCAATGGTAGGTAAAATAAACATATGTTTTTATTAAAGATCTTTGGGCATGCGCAATTTGCCATGCGCGGTAATCAATCTTCATATTACTTCTTGTCATCTTTTTCAATCGATGCAAAGATCCATTATTTTTCCCGCCCTTTGGAATCACTTCTGCATCCGCTACCGACAGATTTTTTCTCTTTGTCGTCTGCAAAACCCAGGTGCGTGCACGATGTCTGAACAAATAATGATTGGAATATTTCTGAGAAGAGAGAAGAACAAAAAACGTAATAATCCCGTTGGAACATCTGGCCTTTTAAATGAAAAATAGCAATATTGCTGTAAAGGTTGGAAAACAAAAGTCGAGTAAATCTTATTATATTGGTAACATCTGTGTGAGAAATAAAATAAAAATAATAATCATCTGCAAACTACACTCAGAGAAAGATATAAATAACTGATAACCCATTTGGTTTGGAAGCCTTGTAATAAAATAAAGAATATTCTTGAAAAAAATGCCATTCCCTGAAGCTATAGTAACCGAATACAAATGTAGCAGACGATTCTTTAAATGGCCATACATGTATATTATCTTTTCAAATTAAAGGTGTTTTAAACGCTTTGCATAAATCGAAGAAAGGTAATAAAGAATTTTTGAACATATTTAAAAAAAGAAAAAGTCAACATTTGTTAAGGTTTTAATACAGAAAAATTATGTTCCATTAGTTGTGCGGACTAAATCAACGAGGGCAAAAGGAGAGAAAATGACCAGGGGAGGGGCAAATATTCTTGAATCATAAAAGGCTAAGTAAAACTTGTTTCACACAAAGTCGTACTCTCTACAATATTATAGAATGTAGGACAAAACCCCACCAGTTAAAACCCCACCACTCAAAATTTTATAGAGTGGACAAAACCCCACCACTTCATTTCATAGAGTGGACAAAACCCCACCACTAAATTTTACAGAGTGGACAAAACCCCACCACATCAGTTTTATAGAGTGGACTAAACTTTCTTGTAAACATGTTAAAAAACAAACAATTGTGCATCAGCAGAAACTCTAAATAATGTGTGAACAACTCATCAATAAGGAGTTACAGTTTGTAACACCTTTTTTGCAATCAAAACATCAATAAATAATCTGTTCTGTTCTTCAAGGATTAGGATTAAGTTTTTTGTGTACAGTTTGTAACACCTTTTTTGCATATTGCACATGCAAGATGTACATGCATTGTTAATAAAATTGTTCATTCTTATATTACACAAATGTTATATTGAAATTAAAAAATAAAATGTGAAAAATATGTGTATATTATATATATTATAATTCATCAAATCTTGCCTAATAAGTGGTGGGGTTTTGTCCACTCAATGAAATTTAGTGGTGGGGTTTTGTCCACTCTATAAAATTAAGTGGTGGGGTTTTGTCCACTCTATAAAATTTTGAGTGGTGGGGTTTTAACTGGTGGGGTTTTGTCCGTCTTCCATATTATAAGATGTACCCCAAAGTCGCTGAAAAAAGTGCTTATTTTTTATTATTTGTAATCATACAATGTTTAATAATATGTCTTTATGTATACAAATACAGACAAGGTTATTTTCAAGGTAACAATACTAATGAAAGCAAAATGAAATACAAATTGCGATTCCAGTGCGATTCGAACTCAGTGGTCAGATGTCTTATTCATGAGGGCCCGGCATTTTACTAGCGGTGAGGGTTGCTGCATAAACCACTAAAAAAGATCAAGCAGCCTGTCCAAATGATACTTTTTGGCTGTTTGGTCTTTATTTTTTTTAATTTTTAAATAATAGGCATTTTCAATGCAAAGTTTCGAAAAATAATTTTACCACATAAATAAGTTTGAATTTACAGTATTTGGTGAAAACTGCACATAAACAAGATGCAGCTTATTAATGATGATGTCTATAAAATATCCTGCCAGTAAAAATTCGATCCCGGCAGGACTCGAACCTGCAATCTCCTGATTCGTAGTCAGGCGCCTTATCCATTGGGCCACGGGACCTACGTTTTAAATTGAGTTGCTGAAAAGCACTGTTTTTTTTTCATTTAATTTTGCTACTTTTTCTTTTAAACCAAAAAAGTCTTTAATTTCTGCTTTAATTGGAGGCGTACACATTTTCAAGGTTATTTTAATAATTATCACATGTTAGTGGACTATTTTTCCAACTACGATACGTTTTTTGATTAATTAATTTCAATAGCCGTCATACAACGATATTTTTATCGTCTGCCGAATAAGGCTATTTTATCAGTATTTAAAATTGTGAAATACAGTGCACCTGTCTGTATATGATAGTAAGTAAACCATCATTTCAGTTTTTATCGAGACATCTGTCTCCATATGACACATAAAATCGAGTTTTAAATAAATCAGACCTTGTGATAATATTTAATTTTACATTTCACGGGTACCGTCTTCTTGTCAAACCTCTCGTCCAATCAGATCACTTTTAATTTGCGACAATCGTAAAGTAAACTGTTAAAAAAACCACATTGCCTTACAAGTGGTTTTTGTCGCACAAGAAGCCGTTGATCAAATATAGTGTTACTCCGGTATAAGTAAGCGCAGGTATGCAGACTGGTCGGCGCCTAAAACAGTCGACTTGCTTTATTTTGCCCTAAACGAAATAGGTGTGAATTGGATGAACCATTGAACGAGAAATCGTATTTGTTCAGTTTGTGTATTTATTAAATACTGTGCAAGACGGGTTAACGTCATTTCTCGACACCCTTAACAGATTGCATCAAAGGAACAGGTGATAATCAGGCGCCTGAGTGAGACAGATTGGCGGCGGTTAAGATAGCAAGAGTACCAGTCTTTTTATAATGGCCGTGTGCTGGCATTTTAATAATTTTGTGAGTCAACAGTTACCTTTGAATTGAGTCAAAATCAAATACTTTACAAAACAAAATTCGGGCGAATTAAGAGTTAAATATTTCTTAAAATAAAAAAAGGTCGAACAACCGCCGATAACATTTTTTTCATAACCGCCATGAATATCCAATAGTTAAAGAAAATATAAGGTATTTATCTATTATTGTGTATTTTAATGGGTCGAGACGGCGCTTCTTTAACAACAACTCATACTTAGCCTATTAATAATGACACGCACAATTTGGTGGTGATATTTAAAATACCGATAAAGATCTAAAACTAAAACGTGTGGCTATAAAACATTATTTCCTGTTCATACTTTAAATGAATAAATGAAATTCTCAATCAAAGCATAATAATTTCATATACAATGTTTTCAACTTTAACTTCACACCGAGAGTAAAGCAATTAATGACTTAGTTTGAAGTTTATTTGGATAGATCCCCCTTTTCGGCGCCACGGAGCCGGGATCTCGCCAATTTTACGATGAAAAAATGCTGACACCTTGTGTATACGGTGTAAATCTGGCGAATGCACTTATCTACCTGCGTACCATATGGCTGTTATGATCCCATCAAGTATTATTATATGTAAATACGCAACAAATTGCTACCACTATTTATAGTCTAATCAAATAACTTTGCCAGATATTCATCAGATTTTCATCAAACATTTGCATGGTAGTTGAAGTGGGAAGATTATTCAATATTTTCTGAGATATTTTTTTCAGATTATTTTACGATTTATTTATTTCTAGAAACAAATTTTAGCCTAGAAAATTAGGCATTAAAAGCTGCATGCAGAATTTCTGTTTCTTATTTTATTATTGAATCAGTGCGCTTGATTACCAGCGGCTATGCAGAATTATATTCACAGCTGCTTATTGACCGGGTTAATCGAACGTGCACCTCCAGGGATCGCGTTTGTTACGTACAACTGAACGCCCGTCACAGATGTACCAGATGCTATTGGTCAAGCAGGAATCCCTTGACTGAGGTAATTAATCACCTGTCATATACTAAGATGATCACAACACGATCTGACAAGAACAGTGAGCTCCAAGTCTCGAATGATTTATGCAAATTGCAATTTTTCCCGGTAAATAAGATTCACCCAAAACACGTTGCGCATCGGTCGAATGTCGAACTATCGTTCACTTTCTTTCGAACCAAAAAAAAATTTATATAGTATATGTATTTATATTTTGAATGCAATATTTTTAAAAAAATCAATTACCCAGTATAGATTTTTTTAAAGAAGTTACATTCCAAATAGTTTCTTGCCCAGGGGACTATAGATGTATGTGTTGTATTGATGTTAGATATGACAGTCAATGTGGCGACAACGACCAGATACATTATCTTTCACGATTCCCTAAGGGACCATATACAGCAAGGTGTCGTTCGTTCACATGTTTCTGTTGTCATACATAAATTTTCACGCGAGTTCTATACATGCAACAGGCCTATTTTCCAGTGCTGGAATGCCTTTTTCCGTCGGGGGACTTCTCTTGTTTTCTGATATCTATGGCGTGAATGATTTCATCTCGTACATATGTTGTATCTCTCGCTATAAAGTTCCTCTGTATTGATTAGCTACATTGTGATTAGAGCGGTTGAAAGAGAATCGATTCACGAGACGAATAGAGCCACCTGGTGCTGAAGCTGGTAAATAATAGGATTAATGGGAGTGCTTGATTGTAATCAGTAGCCGGTGTGGACACAAACAAATACTCGGATCGATCTCCCTGTAGTAGATACTGGTGATAATAAGTTACTTCGTGAATTATGTCAATATCTAGCTGAATTTTTATGTCGCTGTAACAACTGCTTTAATAATTGGTCACAATCGATGATGTGCCTTCAAAAAACGATTTATTTGATGATCTTAACCATAGTTTAACATTTAAACTGATTAAGAATGAATGGTTTAAAATTGATATCTTACAAAACGATTAATTTAAATAAAATTATATTTTCTTAAAAAAAGATACAGATATTAGAACAAGTGCAAACGGGTATATTGGACGAGTAATAACCACTTGAGAGCAGAGAATGTGATGGCAATCAACTCTCTGATTAGTCAATAAATAAGCGAGATAGGGGAAATTTTCTCTGTAACCATCTGGCAGACAGAGCGGCGAGCGCGCTAATGTAAACACGTTTACGCTGAACTATTATAATATCACCACTGACTGAATAAACGGATCAGTTTTCTTTAGGCAGTTGTAGTAGTAACATACGGTTTAATATTGGATAGAGTGAAAAATAGTGCTAATAGTTTGATAGAGAGAAATACAATTATTTGATAAATGAACTGACAAGAAGAAAAAACGTGGAAAAAACTGTCATTGAAAATTGATGAAAAAATGGCTTTGGAATTAACAGTGCGTCATGGGACAGTTGGGAGTTTAGTAGTGCCGGATATTAAATCTCGGTACCACAACCAAGATTCTGATACACCATTATCACCATCTGATACACCTAGAAAAAATAAAAGGAAATTAAGTGAGCCTAAGAGGCGGACTACGGATTTTAGTATTAAACGTTTATGTCCGGACAGTCCTGGTAGTGCTTGTTCAGAAAGCGGACGAAGTGAGGAAAGTACCCCGGAACGTTCGCACGAGGATTCTAGAGATTCTGGTGACTGTTTAAGTCCAGACGGAATACAAACCGAAAGAGAATTGGTTCCACCACATTATAGACCACCTTTTGTGTTTCCTGACATTAGACATCATCCGTATTTCATTCCACAATTTTATTATAATCGTTTTCCTGGATTTCCTTCCAGTGGACCTTTGCCGACGGGGTTTTCCGCCGGAATACCCACCGTTCCCACACTCAGTGTTCCAAATGTACCAGCTCAGCATAATTCACATTCTAGTCCAGACACTTCTAGTAACCAGAGCCCACCATCTCCTCCGCCAGTGCACGTGCAAAATAAGAAACAGTCACAAAGTAAAGCACGAGCTTCTAGTCCCAAACCATCACGTGATGAGGAAGATGATGATATAAGTTCTCCTGATAGTCCTAAGGACGGTAGTAAAAGAAACCGTAAAAATTATAAAAATATGACACGTGAAAGACGAGTGGAAGCGAACGCACGTGAGCGTTCACGCGTACATACAATTAGTGCTGCTTTTGACGGACTGCGACGAGCTGTGCCATCATATTCCTACAACCAAAAACTATCAAAACTTGCGATTTTACGGATAGCATGTAGTTATATTAATGCATTGACTAAACTAGCAGATGCCGACGACGACATCCCTCAGTTACAGAACACTTCATTTGCAGACTGTGTTGATAATTGTACTAGAACTATTCAAACTGAAGGAAAAGCCCGACGGAGACATTAACTTTTTTTCGTCGGAGATTTTTTATATAATATTAAAAAGTGTGATTAGAATATTTAATATTGATTTAAACATTGTAATATTTCCGTGTTCAAATGGCATTTTCTTTTTTTACTGTTTTACTTTAATGGTGGTCTCTCGGCAGATGAAAAGAACTTAAATCAATAGAATTTAACAATGTTTGTTATTTTGATTATTTTTACTAGTTATTTTCCCCTCAAGGATATGATTATACGAGCTAATACTGTGATCAACAAGGTCTTATGACACTTTTTGCGGCACATTTTTCTGTTCATCTTAATGTGTCTAAACATCTGGGAAGATTTTTTTGTTCAACGGCACGCATGTAAAATCCGTTTGGCGACAGAATGTCTGTGGATTAAAATTGATTTAAACTTACTACGGAGCGTTACATTAAAATTCTAATTCAATAAACAGAATTTGGGCTAGTGTGCAATAGTGGATGTTATTTTCCCTCTTAATTCATACGAATGAATGGCATGAAGAAATAATTCTATTTTTTTTCTTTGTCAGTTCATTTATACACTTGAATGTGTCTCAGTTGTTTTTAATTGTTTTTAAAAGATATATATAAAGAAAAAGATAAAATCGAGAACTTGTTTGTTTTTTGTGTGTGTGTTTTTTTTATCTATGTTAATAATTATTGTTTATATAAATACTGCGTAAGTGAACTTTGATATGATGATAAAATGAGGCCCTAACGGAATGATGATGACAAATCTAATACTATTATAATTAAACCAATATTTACTAGATTGATCAGATCCTAGGGATATAGGTGCTTCTATATACAGGGTATGGTTCCATTTTTACAAGGACGTCTGACATTAAGTCTATCTAAGAAATTGTGTTAATTATTATTAAATAGCACACAGAAAAAAAGCAACTACTGGTCCGAACATGATTCACGTTTCCCAGTGTCAGCATTTAATTATGTCAGCTGTTACAGACAAAAACAAAAATGACCCAAACGAACTTTGTGACTTGACGTAAACTTTAAACCATTTTCTTCCAGCTGAAGAAAAAAATCCAGAAAAAAAACTCAGAAACGAATTAAGGTGTTATTATGTAACCACTTTATCATAATCATAAGTGTCGCGACTTTAAACCTTGGCATTTTGTGCACTTTTTTTATCCTAGTGATCTAATTGAAACGTTTGTCTTAATCACCTAGCTTGTATATACTCTGTTAAATGAAAAAATAAACTTGTGGACAAACCTTTAAATCAAATTGACAGATTTTACTACTTCATTTGAATGCAACTATTTGATAACATTACAACGAAGGTGGTAAACCAGTTGTTCGACTACGAATATGATACAAATTACCTCTATTTGACAGTAAGCGCCAAGATGTCTGAAGGCAGGGCTATGTCAAGTGCACATAAACTTCATTACATCTCTCATTATCACTTAAAAGTGTCATATTATTAGCGAGACAGGTGGTTAGTTTTTCCCTCGTTTTATTTATTACTTTTTCCGTATTTATATTTGTACATTTGTATTATTCATACAAATGAACATTAAACATAAATGTTTACTTATCAACCGCCTCGGACAAAAACTATCTTGAATGATCAAGTTCAATTTGCACGTAGATTTCGAGCGTTCCGTGTCTCGTATATTCCATTTAGTAGATAATAACAGTTTTGCATTACTTCTAACATGACTTTATAAAGTATATAAAAATTACCAAATATGTAGAAATAAGAGAGATCTTTACTATAATCACTGAATTGCATTATTTAAGCCCTGCTTTATAACGATCATAAAGTCCGACTTTCTGTAACATTTTAACTCATTTTACTAAGCCGCAAAATGTCAGTCAATATCCATTATTCTGCTAGATAATGTTATTTCAATTTTGTTAAACAACAACATTTTTTTATCAGACGAGAGACATTAATTATAGGTCGTATGTCGTACGATGATGATATTCTTTAATAAACCCAAATTTCTTTCGGGCGGCACACTACAGTATAGTCTAACATAAAGAAGTTTGCCTTAGTGCCGTCAAGTCTTTGTGAGAACGGTAAAGTTTCAATATAAAACTGTAATGATGACATAGCAAGTGTGAATTATCAAATGGTCTTTACACGCTACACAGTTATTCATTGTTCCAATGATCTTTTTAAGTCACACAGTTACTTTTTTACACTAATTTTCTCTTGAAGACTTTTAAAGTCACGCAATTACTCGTTGCTCTTATGACCTCTTGAGGTCACACAGTAACTTGTTACTATAATGATCTATCGAAGCCACAAAGTTACTGATTGCTCTAATGATCTTTATAAGTCACACATGTTGCTCTCTTGATCTCTAAAAGCAAGTGTTAACTTGTTGCTCTAGTGATCTCTTAACGTCACACAGGCTGTTGTTACTGTAATGATCACTTAACTAGCCATGCAGGTACTTTTTGCCTAATGGTTTTCAATAAATACAGTTACTTGTTGTTCTAATGATCTCTTTATGTTACAGAGGTACTTGTTTCTCTAACGATCTCATATAGCCACACAGTTACCCGTTGATTTAATGATCTCTTAACGTCAAACAGCTTCTTGTTGTCCTAATAATCTCCTGACGTAACACAGTAACTTGTTCCTCTAATGATCTCTTATAGCCGCTAAGTTACTCGTAGCGCTAATGATCTCTTGAAGCGACACAGTACCTTGTTGCCCTAATGATCTCTTGACGTAACACAGTGACTTGTTCCTCTGATGATCTCTTACAGCCGCTAAGTTACTCGTAGCGCTAATGATCTCTTGAAGCGACACAGTACCTTGTTGCCCTAATGATCTCTTGACGTAACACAGTAACTTGTTCCTCTAATGATCTCTTATAGCCACTAAGTTACTCGTAGCGCTAATAATATCTTGAAGCGACACAGTACCTTGTTGCCCTAATGATCTCTTGACGTAACACAGTAACTTGTTCCTCTAATGATCTCTTATAGCCGATAAGTTACTTGTAGCGCTAATAATATCTCTTGAAGCGACACAGTACCTTGTTGCCCTAATGATCTCTTGACGTAACACAGTAACTTGTTCCTCTAATGATCTCTTATAGCCGCTAAGTTACTCGTAGCGCTAATAATATCTTGAAGCGACACAGTACCTTGTTGCCCTAATGATCTCTTGACGTAACACAGTAACTTGTTCCTCTAATGATCTCTTATAGCCGCTAAGTTACTCGTAGCGCTAATGATCTCTTGACGTAACACAGTAACTTGTTCCTCTAATGATCTCTTATAGCCGATAAGTTACTCGTAGCGCTAATGATCTCTCTTGAAGCGACACAGTACCTTGTTGCTCTGATGATTTCTTTAAATAACACTTGCTCTTATGATTTTTTTGACGTCATACAATTACTTGTTACTTAAATGACATCAGAAAGCGTCACATTATTTTGTTGCTCTAACGATTTCTTAAAGCGACACAGTATCTTATTGACTTGTTGCTCTAATCATCTCTTGAAGCCGCAAAGTTTCTCGTTAGTCTAATGATCTCTTGGAGTGACACAGTAACACGTTGCCCTAACAATCTATGTTAGCTGCACTTGTGTTCTTATGATCTCTTTAAGTCATACAGTAAATTGTCACGCTCGTAATCTCCTGAAGACACACAATTACTTGTTACTCTAATGATTTCTTGAAGTAACACAGTTTTTGGTCACTCTCATAATCTCTTGAAGTCACATAGTTACTTATTAACTCTAATGATTTTTTTCAAGCCACAAAGTTACTTGTTGCTCTAATGATATTTCGCAGTCACACAGTTACCTGTTGCTCTTATCTCAAATTATTCCTTTACACCACAGTTACTCGTTGCCCTTAGTGCTTGTTTGCGTCATACTGTTACATGTTGCTCTTATGATATCTTTATGCTACACAAGCTTCATACTCGTTGCTGTAATGACCTATTCAATCGGACAGTTTGTCGTTATCCTTTGATTTGTATGACTTTTTTTTGTGCCACAATGTTACACGTTGCTCTAACGATATCTTTATTTCAAACAGTTACTCGTTGCTCTAATTACATATTTACACCACACAATCAATCGTTGTGCCGCACTCTCACCCGTTGCTCTCGTCTCTACACTAGACTCTCTTACAGCCACACAGTTCCGCTTGGCTCTGAGTGTTTCTTTTACACCAAATTGTTACACGGTACTCTCACGGACCATTTTTAACCATATCATATTCTTTGCTCGTTGATCGGACGTGCAAAACAGTTACTAGCTAATCTAACTACATTTTCTGTTTATGTCAGACGGTGGTTCGTTGTTGATATGGTTGCTCGTTACATTAACGGCTTCTTTATTTAACTAAGTTTCTCGTGCCTGTAACGACAGCCTGTAACGACCACTGATTTCATGATACGTTAACAACCACCTTACTTTAACGAGTTCTTTACGTCACTAAATCTCAATACAATAATAATTCTGCACAACCTTGAATTGTTTCCATAGTTTTAAGATAAAGTTTGAAGGATTGTACAAAATATGTTAACCTGTTGTGTATATCAAAATTTTAGCCTTACTATTTACTATCACAAATAAAAATGTTTTCCTTGAATGTGAAATTCGTCTCAAACTTGGAAAACAATGTGTACTTTTTTCTTCTTAATAAAATACACTCTTTATTGATGAAATAACTGAAAGAAAAAATATATGGACTATGAAATGAAAAAAGTACCAACCTTGCAGCAAGCTTAACAGAACTGTAGATATCTGTCAACAAAGTTCTGTAACTCTGCTGGAAAAAAAACCCAAACGTTTTCACACTGAGAAATCCTTGAAGTAAACGCAGGTTTTCCTCTGGACCCAAACAAGTGATTATTGTAAAAGTAACTAGGAAACTACAGTTTACATATAAAAAGAATGGAAACAATACGGTTTCACAGAATTTACTTAAAGTTTTAAACTTTTATAATAAAATATAAGAAACGTTTATGGTCGCCGATCTTGTTTTTTGAGTGATTGTGCAAAATTTCAAGAATTGGTAAAGAGCCGGAGTTTTTTCTTCTTCTTTAAAAACACGGCATGTTTTAAAGAATTTTCATACTTTTTTAAATACAATAATTTCTTTTTGAATCCTATGAAATTTTGTAAAGTAATCAAACATAAACCAAAAGTAGAAATAAGAGTTTTCTGATTTGTAAAGTTAAGCATAAGTTATCTGCCTTGAAATTACTTAAGATTTTGTTTCGCTTTAAATGTTGCCGTTGTATTCTAATATCAATGGACGTGTAAATAAACGCCAAGGTGTCTGTATTAAAAAGGAGCAAACGTCTCAAAGGGTTTAAAAATGCTGTATTTAATAATAAATACATTGTACTATATTATTGCAATTTCGCAGCTACAGCGTTGAATCTTTCAGATCTTTAATCTCATCTTCTGTTAAAGAGTTTGTTTTTGTTATAAATAAATGAAAGTTTAGATACTGATATGTTATTGGCAGCAGAGATGGATTTATTAATGTTATTTTTTTGTCCTCAAGACTTTCTGCTGTTCTCTACCTAAGCGGAATGAAGAAACCAAATTTCCATGCAAATACCAACTTGAGCTTAGGTTTTTTTCATAAGAACAGTGAGAGCTCGTT